TTTTCCTTATGACAGTCATGTCAGCAAGCTTCCCAATTAGTGTCTCGTTAGCGTGCGATTGGAGGGAACAGGTGATTGACAGGTCCTGCTGTTGTGTCTGTATGCATGCACATACTGTCTGTTTGCACGTGTGTGTGTGTGTGTGTATGATTGGGGTTTAGAGTTAGATAACATCCCCTGAGATCATGTACGATCGGGCTGAATGAAGCAGGAGTCAAGTTCTTTTGATAAAATGAAATGAGATCACCGTAAATACATTTTCATGAACTCCAGTGGCTGATTGCCCTGATGTCATGAGGTTGATCATTTCTGTTTCTGCCCGACAGTGGAGGAATGATCTGTGTACTTCAGACAGCAGGGTCACTGTCCATCCTCACCACAGCTGTGTGTGTGTGTGTGTGTGTGTGTGTGTGTGTGTGTGTGTGTGTGTGTGTGTGTGTGTGTGTGTGTGTGTGTGTGTGGTGTGTGTGTGTGGTGTGTGTGTGTGTGTGTGTGTGTGTGTGTGTGTGTGTGTGTGTGTGTGTGTTGTGTGTGGTGTGGTGTGTGTGTGTGTGTGTTGTGTGTGTGTGTGTGGGTGTGTGTGTGTGTGTGTGTGTGTGTGTGTGGTGTGTGTGTGTGTGTGTGTGTGGCCTCCAAATCACTAAAACCACCACTAGGAAAAAGCAAATTCTCTTTTATGAATTTTCTGTTTTTTTTTTAATGAATGTGGAGTCAAATCACACATTTCATTAAAATCCCTCAGCCCAATGCTTCTGAATAAGTGTTTTTTTAACATCATAGTCTAATAGTGTAGTTTGGATACACACGGCTCCTCCATGCTCTCTCTGTCCCCGTCGAGAAGCCCGCCTCTGCTCGTGTGCAGCAGCGATTTGTGGCCTCCGTGGTTGTAAATCACTTCTCTTGTAGACCAGCGAGAGAGACGAGTGTTGCTGCTGTAGCAGGAGTCGGTATATTTGTCTGGTTCCCAGTGAAGCCCCCTCCCCCTCTCTCCCTCCTCTTAACCCCCCCCCCCCCCCAAACACTCCACCTCCTTCTCCCCAGGGGAACTCTGGAGCCAGTTACAATGTTGAGTGTTTTGGAAGAGCTCCTAAATATTTTCAGGATGACAATGTAATCTGACTGACTGGGCCGCTGTCTTGCAAACTGGATTCTCATGCGATTCCTTTTTCTCTCTCACAAACACTCAGAAACATACAACTCTCCAACTCCACCAGCACACTTCTATGTTTGCCGATGTTGCAATGTAGCGCATATTTTAATATGATATCCCAACTCATATCTCTGTTGTATCAAAGACAAAACTTATTTGATGCTTTTTACGTCAATACCAGTTAAAGGCTTTATATGCAATTTTTTTATTCTGCTGGTATCTTCACACTGCATGTAAATTTACCTGGAATGAGCGTGATCTAGAAACACAGTTAAGCAGTGAGTACAGTATGTTATTCTTCTTTTCTCTAGTCCCTCAATTAAACAACTTTTATACACGAGGGGAGGAGTCAGCCGGCCGTCCGGGCGATGTAAACAAAGTGAAGATAGGACTCTGAAAACTCTGAAAACATCACAGACAGTGGGACTCGGGTGTTACACCCATTGTAGACAGTCATGACTCACAGAGTTATTTTCAGAGGAGATACTTGATTTCTACATTTAAGTGTGAAAAATCACATTTAAAGACTTTAAGATATGTGTCTGGTAAGAAATCTGATAATGAAATGATAATTTAGAGATGGACTCTTCTTGTGTTTTTAAGCACAGGACACACTGCTCCTCCAGGCCTCTGAATCTAGTGGAGTCATGAGTCAGTAAATATACACAAAACATGTAACTAAATATTAAGCTTTCCAGATACTGTATGAGTGTCTAAAGCCATTTTTCACTCATACAGAAAATAATTATGAAGCATTTTCTGTATGTTTGTAACGATTGCATTAGTCCCGCCTGCTTGACTAGCTGTGAATTGTCCTGAACATTCCCTGCTGCGTTCTCACATTGACTTACCCGGCGGGGAAACTTTTACTAGTTGGCTGGCTGGAAAAATGTCTGAAAAAGTTAGCTGTTTGAGTTCACACATGCAGCTCACTCTGAAAGCTTCAGGAGATGTGCAGGTGTTTTGTGCATGTGTGAAAACACCATAGTTAGCCTCTCTTTGAGCTTTTTATTTATTTATTTTTTAAAAGATTTTTTGGGAGCATTTTGTGCCTTTTATTGGAGAGACAGGACAGTGGATAGAGTTGGAAGGAAGAGAGAGAGTAGGGAATGACATGCAGGAAAGGAGCCACAGGTGGGATTTGAACCTGGGCCGCCCGCTTGGAGTACTATAGCCTCCGTACATGGGACGCACGCTTTAACCACTGTACCACCAGGACAAAATTATTTTTTTCTTTTTCTTCAGGCCATCTGGTCATGGCTCCTGATATTTGCCAACAGTCAACTTTTCCCACAAACACACTAAACCTTAACCTGTATGTTTTTATTTGTATTTATCCCTTAAATGTGTTACTCCTTAGAAAAATCATGATATATGTACTGAGTGGGGCAGCTGAAACTTTTGTCAAAGGTTACTCTGCCTGGGCCCAAATATACATATAAAGTACTCATCACACAACATACACACAGATATTCAGTTGACCTTTATTTATACTCTAGAGATCATTACAGGTGGCTTTTTTATTAGCATTTTGTGACAAACATACATTTGTTTTAGCAAATACAGGTCTACACACTGTTTAGGGTTGTTTCAGTAGCTGTTGGTGTCTACTCACTTAGCAGACAATTCAACAGTGCTTATTGAGACGATGCTGAAGGGGAGCTTTGATCAGAGTCTGTTTGCATTTTGATACCACATGTGCAGTGAAAATGTTCCACATGTTGACTCTCCCTCTTAATAACAATATCAGTGTTGTTAGCATTAAGTTACAGGTCACATCAAAGTATAAATCAACTTAAAGCAAACACAAACAAACCCAGGGTAGTAAGTGCTGCAATGTTACACAAGCAAAAAATACATTATAGCAAAATACATAACTGTAAAGAATAACATGATTTGATATTAAATGAAGATTTAAGTGACAAGTGGTGAATAACAAAAGAGCATCTCACCCACTTTGTCACACAATGTATTTTTTTCTTCCATTCTGGGAATTTCAAAATGTCTGCTATGAAAAGGACCTGTTAGAATCCGATCCTGCTGACATGGATTAAAGTGGACCAAAGCTCTACAAAAGATGAAATCTCCAACTTTTAAAAGCAACCTTTCAAGCCTTAAACTTGTGGAATTATTGGAATTAAAAGGGGGTGCTTTGTTTCTTATGTGTCCAGACTGGGGCTCTCTCTTTTTCCAGTTTTGTTAACCAGTTTTGCCCCCCCCCCCCCCCCCCTGTTCTCTCTCAACAGTGTGCCCGAGGGCCGTTGAAAGCCCCCTTGGGGGAGTTTTATAAACACGCTCTGAACAAGAAGAAACTCCAAGAATATTGTTGTTGTTTTCACACAATTTCTCTCTCACACACACACACACACACACACACACACATACACATACACATACACTCACTTACACTGACGCGCACACACCCACACACACATACAAGGACATAAAGAGGATGTTGGAGGTCCAAGAGGAGAGGCCAGCGGCGGCAGGTACAGCAGCGACACATTTCAACAAGAAGGAGCGAGGGAAGAAAGAGCGAGAGGAGGCCAAGGACGGTCGGGGAAACCTCTCCAACATCGGGAATCCAGTTCCTGGCTCCAGGAACGTGCGCACAAAAGCTCCTCTCTCACACGCAGGCAGTCCTCACCAGCTCATCACTCCCCCCTGTTCTGTAGTTCTGGGAGCCCCTTCAATGCACTCCAATAGGCTAAAGAACTCTCCGTCCACCAACACACAAAGGTGAGTGGACTTACACACCGACAACCAGAACATCTAGTGCTACTTTAGAACTGTGATTGTAATAAACAACCACTCGTTTACAGCCTAATTAGCCGAACACTGCTCTAACATACTGATTAAATGTAAACATTTAATTCAGTCATTCTCTGAACAGCAGCACAACTGCACAGAGAGCAGAAGTTACATTTCATCTGCTCCTTGTTTAACACTTTTTATTTTTATAGCTGCACAACATTGTACTTTTCACTTGCACTAACAGCTGATGACTTTAGTGACTTAGTAGTGTCTCCCCACATCAATTATACACACACACAGTTACAAGACTGTGTCTCGTACATTAACCTGTTTTTAAATAATCTAGAAACCTCACACAATATCAAAATGAATAAACATGGAGTGTCAGTGTTTATTCAACAGTTGTGAAGCGAGAACAGACAACAAACAGTCATCCCTCTGTTAAAACAGATTGATGTAATTAAATGACACATCATTCCAAGAATTTAATGGACAGAGTTGCTCGGTCAGTTTGCAGAAGGTTTTTTTATATATCGCTTAACATGCTCACTTTTTTAATTGGGAGAAGGCATGAACATGTGTAGAGAATATGCCATCATCAAGCCATAAAAATTATTGTTTTCCATCTTAACTATTTGTCTGTTGTGCTGCCATGGCAAGTTGTTACTGTGTGCATGTATAATGATCAGAGGTGAGTCCAGCGCTGTGTGGTTAAGATGTTTAAAAACCGTATCAAGTCCCTTGGTGTGCTGCTGTTAAGAGCTAAAGTGGAGGTTGAGTACAATGCAGACCTGAGATCAGTTTCTCTGCGTCTTTATTCGACCTGAGAGGTCTTGACTTTTGATCCAGAGCTGTTCCAGGGTCAGAGAGTACACTGAGCTTGGAGGTTTTCCCTGCTGACTCATGGTTCTGGAGCCTCTGGAAACTGCTGCATGGACTGCCAAAATTCTGGCTTTGCCCTTTTTTTTTTTTTTTTTTCTGCTAACAGGGATTCTGTGTGTGTGTGTGTACATGAAGTGTGCTAGGCTGCGGCTGTGCTTTTTGGACATGTTGGCATTTGTTTCATGCTACTTGTACAAGTGTGTGTGTGTGTGTGTTTGTGAAGGAGAGAGAGAGAGAAGCAGAGATTAGGGTGTGGTAAGGTTGTTCCCTGCCAGTTGGATGTGTCCTGCTTGCCTGAACTGAACTCATAACTTGTAAGCAGCAGTCATTTGTAGATGGCCAACCTCTCTACTGTCTGTTCTTTAAGTTTTTACTGTTTAGCTGCAAGGAATTACCCAATACCAGTAACCTTATCTTGTATTCATAGACATCCGTGCCAACTGCTGGATGCCATAATCAAATTGTGCTGGGTGATTTGCAAAGGAAGAAACAGGGGGGGGGGGGAATAATCACATTTGATTTTCTGTCTTTCCTCTTAATTGTTGTCATGGGTAAACCAGATGATATCATCATGGGTACATGTGATAGTGGGGAGTATGTGGATATCAGACAAGCCCCTCCCTCTTCTGATTTGTGCCTAAATCCAGACTATGACTGCTTGGTAACCCAACTTCAAGCCCCAGGCTTTTTTTTCCCCAATATGCCCCATTTCCTCTCAGTTATTTGTGTTTTTATAAGCCAAACAAGTTCACAAATACATTTTGGAAGACAAAATATAGCATTTTGGAAGTTCGCTGGATGTGTTGTGACGTCTAAGATTCACATAAATTGACATTTTTTAAATGATATTTTAGCCATTCTGCAGTGTTTTGAATAACAGAAATGTGTTTTGTTCTGATGTGATGTAATGAAATGTGTCTGTGATCTTTTTGTCTTCCTTCTCTCTGTCAGCCCTAAACCCAAGACGGAGGCCATGGTACGCTCACCTCCCGTTATGTCCCCCTCCACTGCCACACAGATGGACTCTAAAATGCCCAATCAGAGTAAACCAGGGAGCACTGGCAGCCAATCACAGCCCTCACCCTGCGACGCCAAGACCCTGGGTGCCAAAGGGACTCAAAATGTGGCGGGGGGCATGGGGCTGAAGAACGGGCAGGGCCTGACCTCTGGCCAAAGCTCCAAGGTTAAAGTGAAAAGGGAGAGAAGCACCTCGGTGGAGTCGTTTGAACAGCCGGAGGGCGGCACACCCACTGGTGAGGAAAAAGGTAAGACCAACAGGGATGGTAATCACTTTTTCAAACCATCTAAGTCCAGATCTCAGCAGGAAAAAAACGCTGTGTGAAGTGACCCAGTCGATCTTAAAGTGTGACAATAACAAGTTTCTGTTGTTATAATTTATCAGAATGTTAAAATAGTTTACCTGAGTTAAAAGATACCTGAGTTAGCGCCTAATAATTAGTCACTAAAAACATCACTGTGTGTTTGTTTTTAAAGATTTGGTATGGGGGCCGGGGCTTTTCAGGGGACAGGGGATAGAGCAGGAAATCATGTGAGAAAGGAACCCCAGATCGGACTTAAACACGAGCCGCTCACTAGGAGGATTATGACCTCCTGTACTTTATACTATAGTATAATCCATTTATAATTAAATGCTTTTTGCGTTATTGATTGTTTATAGAATTCCCGCGGTGGTTCTGTTTGTTGTTGGTATTGCAGTGTCTGCTGTGCTTGCGTTTTTGTATTCCTATGCACATCAGGGCTGGACTGGTAATCTGGCAAACCGGGCATTTTTCCCCGGTGGGCCGACAGACTTTGAGGCATGGTATGGTTTATCTTTGATTTATTTTCTCTTGAAACGAGAGCGTCAAAAACAATCCCATGGTTATGCAATTATGTGCAAAATACAAAAGACTTTAAACTGAGATGTCTAAAATTTGTAAAGATCAGCGTAGCAGACCTGGTCAAACTGTCATGAAGTACTGGTGGAGGAGAGGTTTGTGGCACTGCCAGACGGGTGAGCGAGGCCATAGCAACAACAAGCATTAAAAAGCTAACGATTGAGTAAGTTAGGTTTGTAGAGAATGTAATATAATAAACATTATAAGGCTGAACATTCTCTGTTTAAAGATGTGTAAAAAAAAAAGCTGTTAGAGGTCAAATTTGTTGCTCTTCTTGCTATGCATGCAAGGGATGGTTGTCTCCATTACATGAAAAGTTCTGCATTCAAACCGTAGTTAGTATTATCACCTTTATGAAATTTAAGTACAATTTTTTTTTTCTGTGAGTACTGAACTTCTATCAAAGCTGCTTTAAGAGGTGTAATGCATATTTTTGCTCTTAAAGTCTTTATTTGTGATTTTTCACACTTAAATGTAGAAATCAAGTATATCCTCTGAAAATAACTCTGTGAGTCATGACTGTCTCCAATGGGTGTAACACCCGAGTCCCACTGTCTGTGATGTTTTCAGAGTTTTCAGAGTCCTATCTTCACTTTGTTTACATCGCCAGGACGGCCGGCTGACTCCTCCCCTCGTGTATAAAAGTTGTTTAATTGAGGGACTAGAGAAAAGAAGAATAACATACTGTACTCACTGCTTAACTGTGTTTCTAGATCACGCTCATTTCAGGTAAATTTACATGCAGTGTGAAGATACCAGCAGAATAAAGATCGCTAGCATTAGCATGCTAACACAACAATGCAGCGCGAGTTGTTTGTTCAAAATATGTTCAGTGAAGCAATTCTGAAAAATATGATGTTCTTATAAATTCTTCTCTTTAAAAATCTAAGTCATCACAAAGGTATTAAAATAAAATTAGATATCAATTCAAGTAAGGTGGCAATTAGGAAATACATATTTTAAAAGATAAGGATGGAGGAGAGAAGCACAATTAACTAAATTAGAGATAAAAGTTCAAATAAAGCATAATGTTTTAAGAAGGGACTCGAGGAAATACTTTTTTTCAGACCCTTGTTGTCACTCATTTGTGTCTTTGTGTGTGTGTGTGTGTGTGCAGACAGCAGCAGGGTGAAGAGGATGTGCGTGGCAGAGAAGAGGCAGCCGTACAGTGGAGCTGACTGGTGCTCCGGGGGAGAGAGTGATGAAGATGACAAAGGATTCTTCAGTAAGTGTTTTAACACGACGTGCAGCCGAGCATGAGTAGCATTTCCGTCCGTTGATCAACTTGACTTATGACAGGTTTAGCAGAACTACATTACCCATGAGCTTGTGCTGCTCCTACAAAAACATGTTTTTTTTTCTTGTGTTACTATAGACTGTAACTCCAGTGACCTAAAGCCCCAGGACTCTGTCACACATTCTACCTCCAACACCGGACTCAGCCGCTCCTCAACACCCTCCCATAATGCACTGGGAGGCCAGGGCTCCACCACAGAACCCGCTGGTGGTCAGAAACCGGGCTCAAAACTTGTCTATGTCTTCACAACTGAAATGGCTAACAAGTAAGGAAACGGAAAAGTTCATGTGTTTCTGTTGTTCTGTTCTTTATGATACCTAGATATTTCACTTGTGATAAAATGTTGCTACTCATAACTCATTTACACTGGGTCTTTGTAATTTAACAATAACCCTTTTCACACATACGGAAATCTCCTGAAAAACTCCAGAGATTAGTCTACCTGGAGGTTCTTTAGGCTGTGTGAACGCAAACAGACGCATTTTTCCCGCAGACTTTACCCAGAGTTTCTCCTCCAGACCTCTAGTATTTTATCTGTAGAATATCTGAGTGAGCTGATGTCTGAACGCAGCAGCATATACTCCAGAGATTTTAATTTGAGCCAATAGAAAGAGAATGATGTTTATATAAAGTGACTGCCTAAAGTGTCTGCACACGACCTCTACGATCTCCGTGCTCTAATCAAACGTCTGCATTCTGTTTTCTGTTGGTCAGTTTGTTGTTCTCCTCTCTTTAGTGGATGTTGTCATTCCATTGGATTACACATAGCATCGATATAAAGACAAATATTCTCATTATAACGTCGTGTAGCGGACTCTGTTGCTACAGCCGCTACTTCCACGTTGTTTATTTACGTTACGTCTTGCCTCAGGAGATGGCTCCGCTCCCCCATGTCAAAAGTGGATATTTATTTACAATTTAGTTGAGAGGATGGAGCAAAAAGATCCTTCACAAAAGAGAAAAAAACATCATGAGAGTGAATTGTGGGTAGACTTGTGTTTTCTCCTCAGTTTGAGGTCAGCACATCAACAGTAGTTAGTTAACGTTTTTGATGACATGCTAACTTGCACTGAATCTCTCTAGTCGGTCTTTCTTACTCGGGCTGTGTTCTGCTATGACTTTGTGCCTGACAAAAGTTAGAGTGAAATACAACTATTTCATACGTTTGATAAATGCCAATTGGCAATATTTAGAAACTGCAGATCGGGAAAAAAAAGGTTCATTTGCACAATAAATAGGTACCCAACTAAACACGGGCCGAATACTGGCTACCTTTACCTTTGCTAGCATTGTCTCTTCAAATACAAAACTGCGTTGTTAAGGGTAAAAAATGGACCTTAACATGATATTAAATGTTTAACCTTTGAAGCGGTAGCTCACAGTGGGTGTGATTAGCCTTGTTTAAGACACTTAATATTGGTATCGCACGATCACAGACTGTCATACCAGCTCCATCATCGCTGAAAATGTCCTGGAAAATAATCTCTGGAGAAGAGTGGGAACCCTGAGTAAGGTCTTTTACCTGCTTTTTGTATCATAACAGTGAGTAAGGTCTTTTACCTGCTTTTTGTAACATAACAATGAGTAAGGTCTCTTACCTGCTTTTTGTAACATAACAATGAGTAAGGTCTTTTACCTGCTTTTTGTAACATAACAATGAGTAAGGTCTTTTACCTGCTTTTTGTAACATAACAATGAGTAAGGTCTTTTACCTGCTTTTTGTATCATAACAATGAGTAAGGTCTTTTACCTGCTTTTTGTATCATAACAATGAGTAAGGTCTTTTACCTGCTTTTTGTATCATAACAATGAGTAAGGTCTTTTACCTGCTTTATGTAATATAACAATGAGTAAGGTCTTTTACCTGCTTTGTCTCGAGATAACACTTGTTATGAATTGGCTCTATACAAAAAAAAGATTGACTGATTGATTGATATTACCCGGATGTAAAATCTAAACTTCAGATTTGAGTACATGCAGGGTACATGTAAATATGTTTTCACTTTTAGGTTGCTGCCTTATCTCTACTTATTATTTTAAATATCAGTGTCTGTAGACGGGCTTATTTAACAGTCTCAATATTTAGACTCTGTTCCACAGAAGTGAAACAGCCACAGAGAAACCCTTTGTTGAGTTACGTTTAAAATTTTAATTAAATTACTAACAATGTCAATTGCCTCATTAGTGGTTGTTATTGTCTTTGATGTTTGTTGAAGCTGTTTGTGTGTATTGAGCTGAGATACTTGCTTCCCAGCCCCTTCTGTTTCTTTCAAAACTTTTCCCGGCTGTGGCCTAAATCCATTGTGAGTATCTACACACAAGTGTGTTTCTCAGTGGGAGCACAAACTCAACTTAGATTAACACTCTTGTTTGGAATTAGAGATCAAAGATGGTGGATACTCAGTAGAAGGTGTGTGTGCGGGAGTTTACTCAGACTGTTGACCTTGGATTTACCTTCATGGTCCCATCTAGTACTCATTCATCCAGCCCATGGTCTCTCAAGTACACACACACCCACGCTCACACACAAACACAAACACATTTATTGTGTCTGATGACTGATATCTGACTGTCTGCCTTCTTGTCCTCAGGGCAGCTGATGCGGTTTTAACTGGCCATACAGAAAACATCATCGCCTTCCACATGAAAAACATCTCCAACAGCAAGGACAAAGCTCACCTCCTCCTGGTAAATACAAACACATGCTATCATGCAACAAAATATATTGTGAAAGTGTCATATATAAATCCTTTTTCTGTTTCTCTCCATTTAAGAACAATGCAGCTAACGCCCTCCGAAATGACTCCAAGCCTCCCCAGCAGCCCCCATCCCATGCCCAAGACCCGAGCCACCAGCCTGGGTCCAAGCAGTCCTTACCTGGCATGGCAGAGGCGGCTCCATCCCAGTCTTCAAACCAGGGGGGCCAGTCTGGTGTTCTTCCACAGGAGGGGCCGTCCTCTGCAGGCATGGAGTCAAAAAATCTTCCTGGCAGTAGCCCCAGTAACAATAATGCCCCGGTTGACCAGGCCCCTGTTACCCAACCTGAGGCAGGCCTCAACCCTCCAACAGCAGCTGAAGGAGGGCAGGGAGGAGGTTCTGGTGGTGCAGGTCTGACACCACAGCAGCAGCAACAGCAGCAGCAGCTGGCCCAGGAGCTGTTAAACATGGAGGCAAACACAGAGGGTCTTTCTCAAGAACAGTTGGAGCATCGCCAGCGCTCTCTGCAGACCTTGCGAGATATTCAGCGCATGCTCTTTCCTGATGATCGTGATGCCCCACAACCTGGACCCCCCCAGTCTCATGGTGGACCCCATGACGGAGGCCCTGATGGTGCACCCCGAAGATCAGAGCAGGGCCCTTTACAAGCTATGATGGCGCAGTCTCAGAGCCTCGGACCACCCGGTGGGCCAGGACCACGTCCACAAGGTCCACCATTCGGCCCACCCCATGGTCCAAGGGACATGCCCCCGTTTCCACAAGATGAAATGGGCGCACACATGGGGGGTCCAGGAGGCTGTGGAGATGGAGATCAAATGACCCCGGAGCAGGTAGCGTGGTTGAAGCTGCAGCAGGAGTTTTATGAAGAGAAGAGGAAGAAACAAGAACTGCAACACCGGCCTCTTCCCCCGGACATGATGATGCACCCCCATGGTCCACGTGGTATGATGCGAGGCCCCCCTCCTCCATACCAGATGGGCCCAGGGGAGATGTGGGGAGGGCCAGGTGGCCCACCAGAGCCCTACCAGGAGCGCATGGGTATGGGCCCTGGCCCGGGTCCTGGCCCCGGCCCCGGCCCCAGGGGAATGCCCCCACATATGCAGCGGATGCCTGGCTTTTCTGGTATGATGAATCCTGAAATGGAGGGGCCTCCGAGGCCCGGCATGGGCTGGCCTGAGGACATGCCACCCAGGATGGGCGATGCACGAGGCTTCCCAGGAGGACCTGGGGGCATGTTTGCTGGTCCTGGTGGGCGAGGTGAGCGTTTCCCAAATCCTCAATCTGTGCAAGAAGCAATGTTTCACCAAGGTATGGGAGGAGAGAAGGGCCTCCCTCCAGGGATGATGATGGACATGCAGAGGATGATGGGTCACCAAAGAGGAGGAATGGAACCTGGCAATGGCATGGGCATGTTTCCCAGAATGCCTGGAGATGGTCCTATGAGTCCCTCCTCTAGGCTCCAGGGAATTGGGGGCAGGGAAATGGGACCGGAGTTTGGCATGGGGCCTGGACCTGGCCCTCATATGCACCCTTCCAAACTACGCGATGTCCCCATGAACATGAGTCCCGATGAGATGATGAGAATGCGAGGAGGTGGAGGACCACCGATGGAGAACATGGGTCCTCAGGGAAGACCCATGCAGGGTCCTCCCTTCCCTGAGCAGACACAGCCTGGAGACTTTCCAATGGGGCCTGGGCGGCCCTTTCCAGGGGGTCCTGGAGGAATGAGGGGTCCACATGCAGACCCATCCTTTGGTCCAGAGCACAGATCTACACCAACAGGCGGTAATGGCCGTATGAACCATCTTCCCTCTGCTGGTGGACCTCCACAAGGTCAGAGAGGCCGAAAACCAGCAGATTTGAATGTCCAAGCAGGAGGGGGGAACTCCCCCAGTGTCAACCCGCTCAAATCACCTCCTCTGAGGCAAGTGCAGTCCCCCATGATGGGTTCTCCGTCTGGAAACCTGAAATCCCCTCAGACACCGTCCCAGCTGGCTGGCATGCTCACTGGTCCCACAGGTCCCAATGCCCCTCCGGCTCCTCCATCTTCAGCACCCATGAAGTCCCCCCACTCCATGATGGGTTCAGCTGGTGCTTCTCCGGTTCACATGAGGTCTCCTTCTCTTCCTAACCCCTCTCCGGGATGGGCTTCCTCTCCAAAACCACCAATGCAGAGTCCTGGAGTTCCACCTCAGGGTGGCAAGCCACCCCTCAGTATCACTTCACCAAACATGATGGGGGGCATGGAGCAAGGTATACCAATTTTTTTCTGTATTAAGCAGAACCTCTGTTGCTGATTCTTCTTTTAGTATTTATCTTTGTTAATTTAATAGTTATTATATTCCTTCCTATATCCCTTTTACTTGGATTTTTTTCTTTTTCTATATGATGGTGTTTATCTTTTGTATTGCATTTTAAATTACTGATCCTATGAAAATATCCATCGACTTTGTCCCTTTTAGTCCTTAAATATCCAAGTTAGATAAATCTTTAATATCCAGTCTGTTAAATCCAACACTCATTCAAGTCAACACATCTGTATAAGGGGTGGGGTTGAATTGGTTATGGTCCAGTGGCTCCCTCTTGTGGCTACATGTTTGGGATCCTAATAATCATAGAGTACCATACACTGTTCCTTATATGATCCCAGTTAAAAACAATTTACCAGACTTTAAGTTGAGTTTTATCATCTCAGTTTTGTGTCATCTCTTCCTCATCATGTTGTCCTCCCAGGTGGTAATGGTCCTCCCTCGGTCCCTCCTTCATCAGGGGCTCCATCTGGCTCCATGTCCCACCCAGGCAATGTCCCGTCTGGCAGTCCGTACACCATCCCCCCCGAGCCGACTCTTTCTCAGAATCCTCTCTCCATCATGATGTCACGCATGTCCAAATTTGCAATGCCCAGCTCCACCCCACTTTACCATGATGCCATAAAGACTGTCGCCAGCTCTGATGATGACTCGCCCCCGGCCCGCTCCCCAAACTTGCCATCAGTGAACAACAATGGTATGAAATCTGAGATAACTATAATCTGTTTGTTATTTATGATCCACCGGCTATTGGGATCGGGACATCCCAACTACATTTAATATGCATCACAAGATATATATTGAAATTGAATGCATAATCACTTGTGTTTATTTTGCACATACAGGTATGGCAATGAACCACCAAGGCAATCCTCGTATGATGGGACCTGGAAACCCCGGACCCATGTCTGCACTCAGCCCCCTGGGGATGAATCCAATGGGATCCCAGCCCCTCTCTCACGGTATGCCCCCTCAGATGCCCTCTCCAAATGCCCCAAACATGGGCCCAGGCATGATGCCTCATGGCATGATGATACCACCAAATCCTCAAGACCCCGTTATGGGAAACCCACAAATGATGCCCCAGGGACGCATGGGTTATCCTCATCGAGGCCAAGCATACCCCCTCACCCAGTCCCCCTCCCAGCAAGGACCTTTCTCCCCGCACAATGGTCCCGGTCCCCAAGGCTTCCCTGGACATCCGATGGGCTTCCAGGGAGAGGGAGGGCCTTTGGGCGGAAGGATGGGGAACATGCCTCACGGGGGTGGGGGTGATGGTGGTATGTGCAAGCCCAACACTCCTGGAGGGCCAGAGTTCAACAACATGCAAGGTGGATTCAGCGATGCAGACCTTCACGAGGTGATGCGACCGGGAGCGTCGGGCATTCCTGAGTTTGATCTGTCCAGGATAATCCCGTCAGAGAAGCCCAGCCAGACTCTGTCGTATTTCCCTCGAGGTGGAGGAGACAACCCCGGGGGGAAACCACCACACCCCTCTGGCTTCCCCATGCAGGGCATGATGGGAGACGGTCCACCGAGGATGGGAATGTCCATGCAGGGGATGGGGGGGATGCCAGGGGGCCCTGGTGGGGTAATGGGTCCCCAAGACATGCCAATGGGCAACCCTGGTCACAACTCTATGCGGCCACCGGGATTTATGGGCCAAGGCATGATGGGACCCCAGCACCGGATGATGTCTCCTGGGGGACCAGGAGGTATGATGCAGGGGAGACAAATGGCCCACCCAGGACCTGGTGGCTCACCTAACATGATGATGTCACTTCAAGGCATGGGTGGCCCCCCTCAGCAGACAATGATGATGGGGGGTCAGATGAGGCCGCGTGACATGGACATGGGGTTCAGTCCAGGCCCTGGAATGTTCTGATTCAACAGAAACCTTGTATCTAGAATGTCATTGGACAGTACATAGGAGGGAGCAAAGGTGTCATTTTGTGGAGAACTCTGACGGACTTAAACAAAGGAAGTATAATAGTAGAGGAGGATTTACCCAGATATGAACAAAATGGAGCATACCAGTCACAAATAGTAATGTCCTGTGGGAACTCTTCCAGTGGAGACTCGGGGACAAGCCCAGATTGGAGTACTTTTGCCACAAGAACATTGAATTTTTGACTCATGAACTTCAGAATGTATGAGATTTGTTGTGCATCATTTTTCGCAAAAAAAAAAAAACTGTTCTTGTGTTTTTTTTGATTATCTTGACTATAAAGACGACTTCAACATCAAAGAGGAATACAACCTAACAAGTCAGCGTGGAGATGCTTCAGTATATGTCTACTTTTTTCAAATTAAAACAAAAAAATCAAAAAAACAAAATTTGTCACAAAAGTGGTGTGGAACAAGAGAAAGGAATAAGAAGAATTTGTGCTTTGTGAAGACTTTAGTGGAACTCCATTTTGTCTCTCGCTCCATTGTTTTTGACTGTTTCTGTACAGTATATACGTGTGAGAGTGCGTGTGTGTGCTCGACAGACCGTATGTTTGTGTGGTATGTATGTATGTGTCTGTCTGTATAGGCATTCTATCAGTGACCTCTCAACTCCTCGTACCCAACTTTCATTGGGGGAGGAACGCCCCCTAAAAATACTGTACTGTTTACCATTGGTGGGCTATTCGAATTTTAGTCTATTTTAATTTCCTTTGTAACTCCAGTGTATAACAAACCAAACTATGACCTCATTAAGATAATAGTATTATTAAAAAAAGCACAAACATGGACCGTCTGCAGAGAGCGTCTTCTTTCTCTATTTTTACCATTTGAGAGCAACACATTGTGAGGATCCGTCTTTCAGGACTCGACTTTGGCCCAGCGTGATTAATACTGCTAATACCCAGATGTGCTATGTGTGTTCTTCTTGTTCCTGTTGTGTACCCTGTTTTGTTTTGACTCTTGTTGACTCTGGGTAATAATCATTCCCACAGCAATAATCCCCCCCAAAAAGGTCAGCAAAATGCGACAGGAGTGGCACAGCAGGTATGCCAGGTATTATAGAACTAGAGCTAGGTAGATCGGGTAAAAATTTTTAGTAAGACAGGTGTGGTGTCCAAAGAGAGACACGTAAAATGTAAACACGTACTGCTTACCATCCAGTTGACTTCCTCTCTTTCTCTATTGTATAAGCTTGTCATGTGTTTCTCCATTGGCTTTGGTGCAAAAATAGCCTGCCAGGGCTGTGGTGATGGACTACAAATAAAAAGATATTGTTTTGGTATATACATGTTGTCTATGGCGTGTGTGTGCGTGCATGTGTGTGTCCACATGGCTCTAGACCAGTGGTTCCCAAAGTGGGGGTCGTGAGACACTGGGAGGGGGGGTCGCGAGTTGCCTTCCAAAAACAAATGCAAACTGGAAATGACTTGAAATCACATTTGACCTATTATTGTGAAATTACATACAAAAATGTTGTTTAATTAGTTTAAGGTTGCTGTATTTTTTTATTGTTGTTCTAATGTCAGTGTTTGGATAGGCCCATTAGTGCATGCTGCTGTGTGCACCGTTATCCCTGCTCTAGACTATTCACATCTAGTCCCTTATGGGGGACAGGTGGTGTCTTCGTCATTGTATGCGTCATACCAGCTTTAGCTACATTTACCTTGAACAAAGAGAGAAAGGCAAAACAAAAAGCACTTGATCAGGTACTTACTGAGACACACAGTATTTCAGAAATATGTCCAAGCTCCTAAATGCATTTGAACTCTTCTTCACCAGCTTTGCTTTCCTTATGTGTTTTAATGTTTTGAGGTTAGATCTTTTAAGGTTTAGCTGATGAGTACAGATCTCAGTAAAAACCAGCCAAGAGACAAAATTTGAATAAGATCTTTTTATTCTTCACTGATTTAAACCATAAAGTTTTCAGCAGCAAGTTACTCCTAATGAGATCAAATGTTTTCTTGTTTCTCTGTTTATAGTCACTGTAGTCTTATCCCCACAATAAGCCAACCCTAATATTTCACTTTTAAAAAGTGCCACAGCAGATTGATCCCTTTGTGCACATGGTTATGAACATTCAAGTACAATCCACGTCCTGTAATCAGTTGGTCATTAACATTTAATACAGTACATGAATTGAAGAGTTCTCCCCTGAGGAACGAAATGGTTGAATATTACAGATTTGCATAAGCGTTAAGATGCAGAAATTGATGTCATCAAGCCAAGGCTACACTCCTCCTCGCACTAGTTGCAGGTTCAACTTCTGATCCTGAAGCTGTTTGATGCATGTCACCCCCCCCCCATACGGCATCTCTCCTGTCAAATAAAGCCCCCCAAAAATCTTTAACAAAGTAAAAGCTCATTTGTATAAATGCACTGCTAAAAATAGTCCCAGACAAATGACTGATTTTACTCCAGTTTGAGTTCTTGGTTTAGCCATTTTAGAAAATGAAAAATGAAATTACATCTTCATCAAGAGGCTCATACTTTACTTTTTTTTAAATATGTGTTGACCATAAGAGAAACTTTCAACATCTCCGGCCTTTTTTATCATTAAGTCATTTATCTCTATCCAAGCAGCATTTGATATAAAAGCTGTGCAGAAAAAATCATTCACGTCAAACTGCAAATTAATTACCTATATGAAACAATTTGTTGCCATGGTAACACATGTTGAATCATAAACCAAAAGAGTGATGTAAAACTAGCTAAGAGGCTGTAATCCAGGACGTGTGCGTTAAACAGTTTCCCCCTGCTAAAAGTGTGACTGTGAGGTATGATGACTGCTGGTGGCTGGATGGAGTGAGCGGTGAGGATGGAAAAAAACATGATGATGTTAGAAACTGTCGGTGTGGTGTTGTGAGGTTCATGGTTTGATCAGGCCCTCAGTTTTGTTACAGAGTGACTTATAGAGTTCAGAGCTCAGTGAGTATGATGAGAGGACCTGTTTGAACTCCTCCAGGGGGCAGTAGGGTCCACTACAGCCGGGTATAAGAAGATCCTACAGAAAGACGAGCAATGCAGAGTGAAGCACCAGGAAATACAACCATTATTTACCATGGATATATAAACAGTCTGGCTCCTACCTTGCCGGTGTATGACACTTTAACGAAGGCCTGGCTCGTCTGACGGTGTTGGTAAAGCTCCAGTGTGATATCAGCAGCGTATGGTGGCCATCGCATGTCAAAAACCCCCAGAGCCATCAGACAGGGAATCAAAGTGGTGTCGTGTGCAGAGTACAAGAACAACTTTCTGTTTAAGGAGAAGAATTCAAAAAATGAAACCAACTCAAACAAGCATGTGCAGATAACAATACTGCGCTAAGTGTCCTACCTGTTCAGCTCTGATGAGGCGCCCTGTAGTTTCTCGTCCATGTTGGATAACAATGTGTGCAGGAGGGGTCCCACACACAGCTGCAAGTTCTCCCTGACCAAAACAGAACCCACAAGCAAAAGAATACAAGTTGAACTCAAGTCTTAAAGGCTTTATATGTGATGTTTTGATCCAGCAGATGTCGCCCTTGAGCACCAGCATGAAACCAAAACAACTTGCGCTGCATTGTTGTGTTAGCATGCTAATGCTAGCGATCTTTATTCTGCTGGTATCTTCACACTGCATGTAAATTTACCTGAAATGAGCGTGATCTAGAAACACAGTTAAGCAGTGAGTACAGTATGTTATTCTTCTTTTCTCTAGTCCCTCAATTAAACAACTTTTATACACGAGGGGAGGAGTCAGCCGGCCGTCCTGGCGATGTAAACAAAGTGAAGATAGGACTCTGAAAACTGTGAAAACATCACAGACAGTGGGACTCGGGTGTTACACCCATTGTAGACAGTCATGACTCACAGAGTTATTTTCAGAGGAGATACTTGATTTCTACATTTAAGTGTTAAAAATCACATATTCAGACTTTAAGAGAGAGGTAATGTTTCCTAACTGTGACTGATAAAGGGGTTGTCATTTTAACTGGAGTTTTGTTTCTTCTAACCTTTTGTTTGGTTGATACACATGGCAGATCATGTCCACAGCTCTCTGCTCCACTTTGTTCCTCCAGGTGTCGAGCTCTGGTGGGCAGGGCAGGCCATGCGTCTGTCAATGTGCACAGATTTAACACAGGATCAACTATTACACTTGACTTCAGGTTTGTTATTTTTTTCAGAGCTGTCTTTTATATTTGGAAAAAACGCTGGTTCTCCTTTGATCAGAGTTGTTTTCTAAAGGTGGTCTTATTTTCTTTGCAACTGACAGAGAAGAGAGAGTCAATTTTTAAGCCATGCTAGAGAAATCTTCTTGCAGCTTTCTACTGTTTTTAATTGGATAACAGCTGTACTCACTCAGACATGTGTTGCTTTCATTTCTCTGAGAGTTATAATGAGTTGTAACTCGAAGCAGGTTGATCTAACCAAAGCTAAATCGTGAAATGTTAAGTAGTGCTTCTGAATTTGGCTGATGAGGGAAAAACAAAAAAACCCTGCTGTCTTGTTTCAGAGTCAGATCCTGTAACGCCTCAGGGCACACATTTCAAAGACAAGTCAATTGAATGTCTACAGGGAAGAAAAGAAATGCCCCTCTGAAGTGGAATTTAACCCTCCTGGTTCAACTAAAGCACAAAAATGATTTCAGTCTCTCCAACAAGGAATTTCCATCATCCACAATAATACGTCTTTCGGGTTAACATCAATGAAATGGGAATAAAAACATCTTCAATTACTGCAATGAGTGAACACTGACACTTTGAAATCACAATCTTCTGCTTGTTAAACTCGTTAATCTCTGGTGACTTGATGAGGTGATGCTATATTATGGAGCTAGCAAACAGCTAGCTGTCGCCTCGGGGGTCAGGCTCACTGTTGATGATAGTGGTATGTGTTTTCTGATAGCTTTGTGGTGAGACCCGACAAAAAGTCTCATGAATCATGATGCAGCACTGTCACCTCTCTGGCAACCATGTCGTCTCTAATGAGGATGAAGTCTACGTGCTGGTGAGCAGCGATGCCCAGCGCGCTCTGGATGCTCTGCAGGTCGGCTGCAATGTCTGGCAGAGTGGACGACTCTGCCCAGCGGTGGCTGTGCAGAAAAAACAAACACAAAACACACAGACACACAATGACAACCTGTCAGAGTTGGCTCGGCCCGGCTTATAATTTTGCACAGCACATGATTAAATTCTCCAGTTTTTGGGGAAGCAAGCGCGCAGGATGTTTGAGGCACATTTCCTCTACATACCTGCCAAGGATTTTGAGCAGCTTGCATCCATGGTAGTTAGGATACAGGATTTCAGATTCTGCCTCTGTTGTAAATATTGGCACAGGGTCTTCTAGTAGAGCACAAAAAAAAAAGATTAGACAAGACCCAGAATGGAATATATAACACACATAAGGATGTTTACCCTACCTTTCTGCTTTTGCTGGAAGAGCCCTGCTACCAGGCATTTAGCAGATTCAATGGTCCTCACAATGTTAGTGGAGCGCACACTAAAAATGGAAGAAATAGGTCATAGAAGGCAGCCAGCTAGAAAAACAGTAAAGTCTGATATCCTTTGTGTTTCACTCTTTAACTCAATGTATATCAACAAAGAAGTATTTTTGTCATGAAGTGCACTGCTTACTAGACCTCGGCTGGGCTGAATGTGGAGCTGAGGAAATGAGTCTCCTCGATGTATCTCCTCCTCAGCCTCTTGCCCAGCTCGTACAGCTGCTGCATGCCCACTGTGGTCAGCTGACCGGGGAACGTGCCACCCTGTCAAGTGTGACAAACAGGATCAAGTTGAACTCACAGATGTGCCTAAAAAAAGACGCACACTTGCCAAAGTCAGAGTACAAGGATGGCAGTAGCCCAGATTGTGGGATTTTGGTTTTTCTGAGCTAAATCGGGTGCAGTAAAGCTCTTCCTCAAAGCACAGGAAACTTTCATCTCCATGGACACCCATGGATGCCAAACAGGACACCGTATCTTACTGCACACAGTGTCAACCACATGACAGAGAGAAGGTGACTGAGAGGAAGAGCTTCAGTGTCATCTGTGCAGCTTTGTAATTAATCCAAGTGACCACTAGAGGGAGACGATCAAACTGAACAAACATGGGCGAAAGTTACTTCCAAATCGAAAAAGTAAGAAAGAATATCCTAACATGCTTCAATTATTTAATCAAAAAACTACTTTTACGGGCCGCTGGTGGATCAGTGGTTAGTGCGTGCGCCCCATGTATGGAGGCTGTAGTCCTTCAAGCGGGCGGCCCAGGTTCAAATCCCACCTGTGGCTCCTTTCCCGCATGTCATTCCTCTCTCTCTCTCTCTCTCTCTCTTCTCTCTAGTGTAACTGACATCTTTGATGACTCTTTGATGCAGTAAAAAATGTCTAGTTGCACAAAATCTGAACTCTGGCAAAGGTACAGCCAAAATAGAATGACATCATTCTGTTACTGATTACTCTCGTACTTTCCAGCTAATACATTTCTAAATTACTGCCTCAAACTCTTTCCTGTAGTTATTATCACACCCATATAGAATAGAATAGAATTACTTTATTGATTCCAAACTGGGACATTGTGGTGTTACAGCAGCAGGTTATCAGAGCAAATAAAACAATATAAGAATAGATACATAAATAAGCACTTAGAATATAAAAAATAAGAATAATAAGAGATTTATACATCAAGGATTTAACTTAACATTCCTACTGGTTCAAAAAAATGAAAAACGAAATACAACATTTATTCAGGCTTGTCAACTGAATGTAAAAATACTTGCTGGAGGTAAGAGATGTAAGTTTGCATAAAACACAGCTTCTGTAGTTTCCACACCTGAATGCACTCAACGACACAAAACACACCTACTCACATTCAGTATGTTCTTCCGATAGTTGTCCTCTATAGGAGCCGGGGGCTTGGGACCACCAGTAAGATCTGTCACCACATAGTTGATGTGGCAGTGTGCAGGAGGTTCTAATAGCGTTGGAACCCACTGGACCTTTGACGAGACATACGCATTATGTTTCTCACATCTTCTGATGAAAACAAATGAGTTCAGAACTGAAATCGTTTTTTTACCTCCATCACATCAGGTATCGACTTCAGTGGCGTCCGAGCACCATGACGGAACAGGACTTGGACCAGTTTAAGTTCATAAGGAGAGCTGGTCTCTGTGTCAGCGGAGCAGCTGCTCAGTGTAGCGCGGTCCGATTGAGTATTCTCCTCTGAAAACAGGACCGAACCGAAAGCGGCTGACATTGAACCTAAAACACAAACTTTGGGCCAAAGATGCCTCATGATGGAGCTGTAAACAAAAACAAGACAAAATGTGTAAGAAGACATAATGAGTGCATTATGGTCAAGAAGATTTATTATTACAAAACAAAAACAAACAAATGGTCACCATGTGTACAACCTCTCCCACCTATTTTATTTAACATAAGTTACTATACTGTCCTCCATGTTTGTCTTTGTCCTGTTTGCTCATTTACTTATGTTGTCCCTCTTTCTAATTCATTCATTTTATTTACTGAACCTTTTCCTTTTCCTTTGTTTTGTTTGTATCGTACCACAGTTCCCCTCTTGTTTGTATCCCTTTTTTTTATTGTGAGTGTGTGTGTGCACGTTTTGGTGAATAAAAGTTAAAACAGAAAAAAAAAGAAGCTTTATTATTCTTTTTTCATTTATAAGGTCGTTCATTGTTCGGTCTGTTAAATGTCCAGTAAAAAAAGAACAATCTCAGATTTCTGATGAGCAGACACATTCATACAGCTTGTTAGTACGGTGGCCTGGAGGTGTCAGACGGTTCAGTTAATTATAACATACTAATTAACTACTTAACTACAGAGAAAGTAGAAGTAGATGATCAGTCAGTTCAAAAAAAGGGGTAGTCAACAAAATAAAACATTTAAAGACGTCGTCTTTAGAGGAAAATTGGTGGTCAGCACGTTTCTCATTTTCTAAACCTGGTGATCAACTGATCAACTGATAGCGAGCATTTTTACTTTTGTTGTGTTTCTTAAGAGTTTCTTTCTTGTTTTATTGAATCATTGTTTGATCAATGAAATGTTTCTCAGAGCCTTGAGGTTATATCTTGTTTGGTGAGAACATTCCTAATTTAATCAGAGAATTTTATCAGACTTTTGGAAAATCTGGGAATAAACTCCATTTTTTAAAATTATTTTATTGCAACACAAGAGACAAAACACAAGAGACAAACACTTACAACACAAGAGACAAACACTTACAACACAAGAGACAAACACTTACAACACAAGAGACAATTACAATGAACACAGGCCACAAAAGGGGTATATTCATGTTTTACGTGAGTGTGTGTGTGTGTGTGTGTGTGTGTGTGTGTGTGTGTGTGGATGGAAAGTCAGAGTGAGAAAAACAAATACAAAGTCACTACGAAACAAAAAACAAAAAATAATAAAAATAGATGAATAAATAAGTAATGATAGAGATGATAACAATATTCATCCAGGATTCATCGTCATTATTGTCACCATCAACAAAAACATTTTTATGATGTCAGTGGAGAAAAGTCTTCACCAACGCTGTCTCAACTTTCAGTCAACCTAACTACGACAGGCAGAGAGCTGGAGCTGAGGCGGGTTTTAAGCCTCTCCGCAAACAGTTACACGGCGCCCACCTGTCAATCAGATCAGCTACACAGATGAGTTATCAGAACATTAACCCCCCGTACACTGTGTGCTGATCGAGACATGAGATAATCATAACCAGACCTTTTTTTGTTTTTTTTAACCAGGCTGTAAACATGTTAACGTCTGATGTAAAAACAGATTTTTTTTTAAATTGCTGTGTATGTGACCTCCGGGTTGTGACAGTGACCTTTTTGCGAGCTTCTACAGCCATCAAAGACATGGTATTACAATTTGACAAACATTAAAAACATGCACCAGGTATTACTGTAGGTACAATTTGATACATGTTCCTGCAGAAGGTGGTGGCCGAGGTGATCAAACCAGAAACTCTACCTCCAACAGAGGATGCAGCTGCACAGCATTCTCTCCAATATAGTTCTACTTTAAATGTAACTTTGTTTTAGTTTGTATTTTCAATTTAACATTTCTATTTGGTTGTGGAAGTCATCTCCTGTGTCTCTCGACCCCCCAGGGGGTCCCGGTCCCCACTTTGGGATCCACTGATGTAGAGTCTGGGGGAAGTATCAGACCTAAACACCTGACACATTAGGCATTGTGGAGCAGTATTCTTTTTAACTAGTATTTGAGATATTAAAATAAACCTACTGTTAAAGTGTGAAAGCGGCTTGGCCGTTTCTCCAACAAAGAGAAAATTCAGCATCCTGAAAAACTCCTAGTTTGACCCCTCACAAGCTACCTGAGGCAGAGGTTAACATCTTTTGGACTTTCAAGAGGAGTTTAATTTGAATCTTTTCAAAGTGTTATAAGAACACTTTGAAAAGATTGGTGAAGAAATGTCTAGGTAAGGAATTTATTCCAAGATTTTTTGTAATATTCCCTGACAAATTAGAGAGAGAGAGAGAGAGAGAGAGAGAGAGAGAGAGAGAGAGAGAGAGATAGATAGATAGATACTTTATTGATCCCGAGGGAAATTCAAAGCATCCAGTATCAGGTTACAAAGACGTGACATGAAACATTTATTACAAATTAAACCCCCCTCTCATATATATTAACCTGAAAAATAGATTTAAAGAATCCCCCTGGATGAATCAAACTTAAACTGTGCAATTAAAAATAGACTTATACAAGAAATGTACATAACCTGTGCAGGGATAAAAAATATTTTTAAAGCAAGAACCTTTAAACAGTTCAGGAGAAAAATCTGTAATTAGACCTGAATATAAAAAATAAAAAAGTGTTGACCTTCTGAAGTTGTGATAAAAAAGTTTTAAAAAATTCTGAATAAATCAGGAAAGAATTAAGATTTAACAAATACATAATAAATATTAAGACTGAAAATATAAACTTGCCTTACCTTCCTTTAACGTGTTTAACTGAACTTCCTGTTGCAGTGATGCAGCAGCTTCAGTATTACAGGTGAGGCAGAGTGAACACCTGCAAAAGGTAGACAGGAGATCAAATATTTGGTGCTACCTTGTGTAACATGAGACCTACATTGTGTAAGATGAAGGCGAACAGAGGAGGCTCACTGCAGGGGGCGTGACGTCACCTTATCAGAATTCCCATTCACAGCGTCCTCATTGTGTCAATAAAGGTTTCTCTATTCAATCTACTTCACTGTGTTTAAAGACAAACACTATTCACACTTCTACTAACCCGAGTTACAAGACAGACATTACTCAATCCTTCAACATGGACCTGTCGATGACTTCAACACGTTAGAAAAACTGTTTGAAAAACACGACTAACGTTAACTCTTTAGAGACTATGTGTAGCTGTTAGCCGGCGGAAGCTAACTGTACCATGGAAACGAAGCTAACTGTTAGCTACGGCTTTAAAAACTACAAACAACCCGCTTACTTTGAGAATCCAGGTTCTTTGGTACCTTCAGTAGAAACTACAGAGCGTTAAATAAGTGATAAATTCACTTGTCATTCGGCAACTCTTGCTACTGTTGCAGACATGTTGGGAACTGTAGGGCAATAGAGGCCACTTTACAATGTAAGTAAAGGTGAACGCTACCTAAATATGACTACATTTCCCAGCATTCATGAGAAGAGCCGGACTTTCTTCTTCGTCGTAACGATGTGCGGTGGAGAACAAAGGCACAATGCGCGCTCCTGCCCTCTGCCGGATGTAAGTGTGTGTGCTCGTGTAGCTGCTGATATTTAACATCCCGAACAAATAAAGATTAAAATGTCCTCACAGTTATATATGAGGGACAAAAAATAACTAACGTATAAATAAATAAATGTTGGGAGAAATGCATACAATAATGTGTAAATAAATAAATATTAAATAAATGCATCAATAAATAAATCTATAAATGCTGAAAACAATACATCAGTGAATAAATAATACACTTTGTTAATGAAAAAGTCTATTTATATATTTTTACATGTATTTATTCATTTATTAGCGTATTTCTACAGTTATATATGCATCAATGCATACATTTCCACATTAATTGAGTTATTAATTTATTTCCGTATTTTTACATTTACACATCTATTTATTTCTGTGTCCAGGTCGTAAGAGGAAAAGTATTTATGTAAATTTGCTTCTGTCTGTTTTTCAAAATTGACCAATCCTACTTCAGTAATGTTAGGACGGCCCACTTAATTTACATATTTACTTTTCCTTGCACAACATGGACACAGAAATACATAAATAAATATATGAATATATTTATTTATATATTATTTTTTATATGAATTGTTGCATTTATTTATATTATATATATTTATTTATATATTTATTGATGCATTTATTTAATTATTTATACATTATTGTATGCATGTCTCCCAACATTTATTCATTCATTCATTTATTTATTTATTTATACTTTAGTCATTTATTGTCCCTCATAATTATAAACACAGTTTAATAATAATTATAATAAATGTATACTTCTGTAGTGTATGTCACGTGTGGCGTTATACGTGATGACGTTGAGAAATGCGTAGCCTATATGTTACCAGAAGCAGGTGTCCCTTGTACGGAGGCTATAGTCCTCCAAGCGGGCAGCCCAGGTTCAAATCCAGCCTGTGGCTCCTTTCCCACATGTCATCCCCCACTCTCTCTCTCTCTCTCTCTCTCTCTCTCTCCCTGATTTCTGACTCTATCCACTGTCCTATCTCTCTAATAGAGGCACAAAAAGCCCCAAAATAAAACATTAATTTGCTAAGGGTCTTAGTGGACTTTACAACATCTCCTTTTTATTTATTTATCCATAAAATTCCAGAGTGAAATTTTGGACTCATTTATATTTCAACTCAAAACTACATCAACTGAGTCAATATTATGCAAAAGTAGGAAATACGTTAAGGCCACCTTTACCAATTAAAACTAAATCAAGGCTCAAAACATGGAGTCTGAAAAAATCAAAGGACACAACACAGATTTAAACTCTACCCTGAGCTTTACTGAACTTAAACAGCCCCCCCCCCCACCCCACCCCCCACATAACACTAACTCCTAATGTTAAATAAATCAAATACTTCCCTGTGGTGTCGATCTTTAGCATTACTCTTTGCAGTCTTATAACAAGAGAGCTTAAGAGACTTCAAATTATCGTCTGACAAATATTCAATCTAGGATGTTTTCTGCATTTGAAATATATTTGAACAGAAGACGAGTACGTCTACCCGTGCAGACTCATCACCTCAGCTTCTCCCATGTGGTGGTTAACAGACAACATGTTTTATTAAAATAGTGGAGTCATCGTCATGGATTCTAAATACTCTAAAATCATTACGCCAATATAGAAACATCCTATATATTGATGAAACATTTTGGTGCATCTTTTCAGTTGAATCAGATCTGTAACAAACAAACAAAATGGCAGCACCAACTGTTTTCAGCTCCTCAGCTTGAGACAGACCAAATTGTTGGATGTTAGCCGCTCAGCTTCCTGGCAGAGATGTTGTGACAGTCTGTGTTTGTGTAAATACTACTGTTCATCTCCCCAGTCTGTCTCCGGCAGGTCCTTTTTTTTTTCCGAGAACAGACTGGAAAATATGCAAATGGTGAGATGACACTGATTTAAAACATGCAGGAAAGCCTTCACTTATAGTCCTACATGTTTCTCATCATGTTATAAAATCTAGTTTGATTGATTTCAGCTTGTCGTTTTGCGAGCCCACTGGAGCATTTTTATTTATTTCTCATAGTGATTTTCTTCACCCAGGATTAGCTTCAGAGAGTAAACATCTACATTCACCGTGGTGGAATTTCTGTAGTTATTTAGATTCTAATGTACAGATGTCATGATGTTTATTCACTGTTCTCTGATGTCAGTCAGAGCTGACAGAGTTCAGCTGTTATTAGAACACCAAGTACAGCTTGGAGAGTGTCAACTGTTCTTCCTGATATCTGCTGGATGTTTGGTAGACTTGTTGTCTGCTCCAGTGTTACAGACGTCACAGTTTAGTCTAGGTGGATCAATGTGACCCTGATAATGATCATGTCTTTAGGATATACGCGATGCCTTTCGAGAAGTTCGGGAGCTGTGATTGAGCAAGACACGAGAACAGAAGTGTGATGTTGAATCATGTCTCCTCATGAGTATTCACCTGCTGTATAAACTTTCATCAACACAAGCCATCTGAGTCAACTGAGTTTTATTATGTGGAGTCAAGTCTTCAGCCCATGTGACACTCCCATTTTGCCAAACCCGAAGCCAGGCTGCCCTGATGAATTGAGGTTTGTGCAGGTCTCAAAGCTGTAAATAACGTTGTTGTGCCTTCAGTCCAGATTTTGTTGGATGTAAATTCCACCACATTCACCATAACACTTTAGTAGCATGAGTAAATCTTAATATCTGAATCAAGCAGAACGATCTAGGGAGTACTTGAATGAATAACAGACCTTGAGGACAACAGATCAGATTGTACGGTTGATTTAATGACTTGACTGGAAAGTGTTGACAATTATTGCATAAAGGTTTGTGTGAAATAAACAACAACAAAAAAACTACAGTGCATGTATGGAAGGACAAGATTTCTATTTTTAAATCAATGTTTGCTGTGCGGCTGCAGCGGATGTTTATTTTAAAACTGCTGTCATCTTAACATGTAGTATTACTCTGCAAAGAGTCAGAACACCAGAAACAGAATAAAATACATTCAAAGATATCATCAGAATAATACATTGCATAGGGACAAACTGAATATTTACACAATGGCTCCAGGAAAGAAACTAAAAACATTTAAGTGCAATGCTGCCACCCAGTGGCTGGATCTCTTTATAGCTGCATCCAAGCAGTAGCTCTTCTTTTTCTTTTTCTTTGAATCTCCTTCAAAAAGGAAAATCCTGAAACAGGCTACATTCTCCCATCAGTGCTGCACACAAATCATCCTGTGAATTATACAACTTCTGAATAAGGTAACACACAGGTGTGACAAGATTGTGACAAGTTACATTTTATGGCTGTTGACCGTTTCAACAGTCTAAAAAAAGCAAAATATGGCTTTTTGTTTAAAGTTGCATTTTCGTTTTTGCAATAACTTTTTTTAAAAAATGTAAAAAAAAAAAAAAAAGGTCTTTCTTTTTAAGGCACTTTACCTTGATTCACTTAAAAACATTTACTGCATAAAAGGATTCTTCACATCTACTTCATATGAGCGGTAAATCCCTGATTTGTAAAATCTATCTTTTATATCTTTTTAACTGTTACTGGATCACATATTTAAGATTTGTGTCGTATTTTTGCATATGAGGAAAGAGTCTCTGCACCACTAATCTCAACAAATCACATCTTATTCTTTGGCTTACTGTTAACTAAAACATCAAATGTACAATATTCAGGTATCACACCTGTTACCCTGTTCTCAGTTCAAAATATTTATTTTTTCTCTTTTGCATTTTGGTTGTAAGTTTTCAAGACTGAATGGTTCAAACACATTATCTATCAAAGATTTAACAGATGTCAAGTTTGTCATTTCCACACACAGATCACAGTGTTTCCACTTAGAATGGACTTCTTCCCCTTTCTGTATTCAAGTGCCCGGCTTCAGTGGTGGTTTGCATCTTCAGCCAGTCATGTTAAGACACATAAACCGATCTCTTTGTCCCTTCTCCTTCCTTTCACAGCCTCTCTTCCTGGTTCTGAGTCTATACTGCCAGGTCGTCTTGGCGAGCACGGCTACTGCTCCCGCTGGTCTTGCTCATGCGGCGTTTCTCCCTTGCGAAGCCGGAGTGCAGCAGAGGCGACGGCGAGCACGTGATGGGCAGCTCCGCGGGCCCCTGGTCGTACCTCATCCTCAGGAAGTCCTCCTCGTCCTCCAGGTTGTCGCAGCTGCGATGCCGCTCGGTGGCCAAGTTGACCGAGTTCTGCTGCAGCGCCATCCTGTTGCTGAAGGGGTGAGAGGTCATGGGGGTCATCGGGCTCGGGGCTGCCAGGCACTGGCTGAAATCGGGGGGTGGCGTGCAGGAGGA